TCTACCAGAACGACTTTCCATTGGAGAAGATTGAATCACAGCTTAATCGGTTCACCCTGGACAGCAATGACAATCTCAAGAGTGGACTGCGTATCGAAGAGCTGCCCCAAGACGAAGTCACCCCCCAGCCCGGTGAGGTGATTATCTACGCTGCTCACTTCAACAAAGACCTGAGTGACACCTTCGGTGTCCCCTTCACGGTACGCATTCGGAACCAAGAACCCTACAGTGCAGTGAAAGAACGCATTCGGAAGCGTTTAGAAGTGCCCGACAAGGAGTTCGACGCCTGGAATTTTGTCCTGGTGACCAGATCCCAACCAATATCCATACCGAGTGCACAGGATATTCTTGTGGACACTGGGATTTTCGCCACAACCACCGCACCTCAGCCCTGGCTGGGCGTTGAACACAAACCCTACAAGAGACCTCGTTACGCTCCAAGCGAGAAACCGATCAAAATTCACAATTGATTTGCTTTTCCCATCCACTGCTCACGCTTCACCGCCACTACCACCATCGACACTACAAATGCCCCCCCCTCCCCTCGGCCCCCTTCATTCGGTGCTCTGCTGCTCCGAAAAGTCTGCTTCTTTTCTCCCACGACCGTTTCGTTCTTTTGGAGTTCCACTATCCTGTCAGAATTTTCGCTCCACCAGTGAACGATTAAACATCCCTAAAGAGAGGAAGAGAGAGACGGTGCGAGTGAAAATAAGTTTTCGGGCCTCCTATTATTTCTTGTTTCTCGCCCTCAGATCTCGCGCACTCGAAAATATCTTCCCTGTTTCTTCCCTCACTGCCGCCACCCGTCGAACTTCATGTCGATCGTGTTGTTCTGGGGTGGCTAACTCGGAACTTCGTTTGTGCATGTGTGTGTGTGTGTGTGTGTGCGTGTACGTATATAGGAAGTCGTTTCAGTTGTCGCCTCTGTTTTGTGTTTTGATGAGGAGGAGAAAACAACCGCCGATTGCGGCCACGGTATGCTCACCTTTCGCTCATTAGTCCAGTTATTCGGGGTAGAAATGTAGAAGTCCGAAGGTGCGTGCGTCCATCGACCGCCAACGGTCGTAAGTTTCGCCTATGGTGCAGGATCGTTGTTTTAGTTACCACGGCATTCTGCACGGTATTGGGTGCCGCAGAAAGTTGTTCCCCTTTTTGGTGAAATTCGCCGTCTTCCGTTTACTTGGTCCTAGGGATTCGGAGACGGGAAATCCTTTATTGCCAAATCAATTTCACCGACTGATGATACCATGCTTCAGCAATATCTTTTTGGCTGCTATGTGTTTAGTTGCTCTTTGAAAAAACCAGTGGTTTGGCCGCCGTAGTGCGTTTTGTTGTGCAACACTTGGGTCATATTCCCGAATCCGCTAATGAGTTTGTTTTTAACTACTGAGGCTAAGTAGTTATCTTTTTTTAAATAAGAACTTATAAGCGGATCTATTACGGACAATTGGGACTGGCTGCAGGGAGATTTGAGCCCGCTCCCTCTGCAATGCATGGAGCACTGACTGGTTGTTGGTGATATCTAGCGTCAGGTTCAAGTACTGACTACCCAATCAGATTGCGCATAGAAGCATGCTTGTTTCGCCTAGCACTAATGGGCGGTCGCAAACGGTTGAGCCGTTTATTTATCTGACCAATTGGGCCTAAATTTGAATTGCCAATGTATTTATTGACGTCATATAGTTTCGCGACCTCTTACTTAATTGCAAACGGTCTTTGCCTATTCATGAGATAATTAAGTGTCCAGCTAAGTGTCGACCTAGAAGGATGAAACTGTATAGGTTAAGATGTGAGCGCATGGCGAGGGGTAGAGGAGGGGGGAGGAAGTTGTCGCAGCATGGTAGTTGATGTGTACTAAAGCCTGTAGGACGTGGTTAAAGAGGCA